AATTTGGGGGTGTTTTTATTTAGGGTTTTCATGTGCAGGTAAATTGAATTCATAGTTGAAATTTTGAAATACACTAAAAATATCAACAAAAAAAAACAAGATGGCGGCTGAAATATGGCGAGCAAAAGATATATATATATATATATACACCGAAGAGCCATTACATTATGACCACCCTCCATCTATAACAATGACCTCGCCCAGGTTTTCATGGTTTCTCACCCAGGAACAATGTTTTCATAGGGCACATTAAGACCCATAATCCTCATAGAACAATCCTTGACGTCTGTAAGCTACTTGAACATAGTTGCAGACCAGGTTCACCCATTTATAGCAACAGTTTTTCCTGTGGTGGATAATGTTTAAAAACAGGATAATACACCATGTCATAAGGGTCGAATCGTCGAGGAACATTCCAGTGATTTTCAAGTCAAGTCTTGGCCCCCAAATTCACCTGACCTTAATCCAATAGAGCATTTGTGGTCCTACTTGGAAAACCAAATTCGTGCTGTCACGTTACCCCTCGCAATGTAAGGGAATTGCAGGGCCAGTTGGTGAGAGCTTGGTACCAGATACCTGAGACTAACTATCAGCACCTTGTGGAATCAATGCCACGGCGGCTGCTAGCAGTTCTAAGGGCTAAAGGTGGTCCTACATGTTATTAGCAGGGTGGTCATAATGTAATTGTTCTTCGTTGTATATAGTACGTTTAAATAATAAAATATGGCGATGAAAATATAATAATTTTCGTAATTTTATATTAAAAATTGAAAGCAAATTATATTTCTGAAATAATATTACGAAATAACGCGAATTAATTACAAAATAACGCGAAAACATGAAAAATTGCATAATTTTTGTTTTTCGATATACTTAGTCCACCTTTGCAATATGGGCAAAATGGGGCAGGTTTTTTCGAAAGAAAAAACACCAAAGAAGACAACAGAAAAAAAAGTTTAAGCTAATTACCTTGTGGAACTTTTTGGAGATAAGTTTCGAACGTGATTCAAACATTGTAAAATGTCAAATGATAAGATATAAACTATAAGTTTGTCAAGAGTATTTACTAATCCAACAAATTGAAAAACTGTATTATTATTTCAGACTAATTACTCTGATAAAAATGTAACAGAAATTTGAAATTCCTATATATATTTCTGAAATATAAATTTAAAAGTTACTTTCAAAAAAAAATTTTTAAAACATATTTTTCACTACATTGAACTCTCGTCGATCCAAAAAGTAACTTATAATGTTTGGAATGATTATGAATACTTTTTTTGGGTGATATTAAATCTGCCTAAGTTAGTTTTAGTTGAAATTTAATTTTTGACTTTAGGCCAAAGATCATCGTCTTCTGGCCCACTGTGGGTATCAATCATAATGGTTTCTTGGGGTGACCTCGAATATGGTAATTAATTAGTGCTAATTATTAATTAAGTTACGAAATCAGACACAAAAACGTACTTTCTCTGAATAAACATATCTGGATTTCTGTCCCTTAAAATAGGGGGTAGGCAAAATTTTGAAAAAATTGGATCACAATGTAAGGCTCTATGAAGCTCTGGATATTTGGCGTCGTCCCATAAAGATGCCAAGAATTATCACCATAGCAGAATTAGAAATTTAATATAACCATACTCTAGCTGCGTAAATGAAAAGAGAGAAATACTCCGTAACTAAGCAACCAAGCTGAGATAATTAAAAAGAATGAAATGAAAACTGAAGTTGTTCTTCGTTTTTATGTTAGCTGGGGACAGAAAGGCATTTTTTTTAATTAGTTAATATAAAAATATCTTAAAGCTACTAGACAACAGATTTGTTTTTAATTGATTACTGCGCAAAAAGCAAAGATTGCTTTCGTTTTCATATCCTTTAAAAATAAAATTTGAATCGATTTATAAATTATTTACAATTTTCCAAGATTTTAGTATTTGAATTAATCATGGAATTTTTGTACGGTATTATTTGTATGGAAGTTGTTTTTAACTTCTTTAAATATGAAGATTTTATACTAAAATAAAATTCGCATTATTTGAATTATATACAGAGTTGTATTGCAAATCTCGAAAAAGATCCCGTAAAAATTGTAGAATATCTAGAAAAAATTATAATGCACATTCAAAAGGTTATCTATATATATTTCTCTTTTTCAATATTTCTTTTAATTCTTCACGGCAATATTGAAGAAATTAGTTAATGTTACGTGACATTTAAAAAAAAAAATATGTATATGTAAAATTGAAAAATGTATATGAAAATGTATATGAGAACATTTGAGAACACATGTTAAAATTTGAGAAAATTTTCTGTCCTTAAAGAGTTGAAATTTTTTTTATAGCAATCCATGAAATTTAGAGGCTGCCCTAAAGATTTGAGGATATCTGGTCCCCTTATATAAAGGAGCACTCATAATCGCCTAGTTGATAAATCTAATGAATTTTATTTTATTTTATAACCGTCGTTGACCAGCCGACCCAATTTTATAGGTTTACGACTACTAATTCTCTACTACATAGCCTTGTAATTTTTAACCCAATCCAGAAGACAAGGGAACCCCTGGATCGAGTATTGGGAGAAATTTGCCTTCGTAAAGGACTTCTTGATGGAGCTAACCCGCATTTGCGTTACATGGAGAGGAAGACCACGAGAACCTCCCACGGTTAGCCTGACGGCAGGGGGACTCTAACCCATGATTCGTCTACCACTGAGGATATTTCACGTCAGCACTGTAGTCGAAGCAAACCGGATCCGGAATTCGTATCGACTAGGATTCGATCCCGGTTCGCATATTGACGAAACATACCGAAGATTATAAAAGGGTTGGCGAAACTTTCAATTGACGTTAAACGAACGTTCTCGCAAATCGCCAAACAGCTGTGTGCTTATGTTTTTGTTTTGTTTTTTGGTATCACGTATCTATCATTCACCAAGTTACATATGGGTGTGACATTTCAGAGTTTCAAATAAGCTGATCTTCATTAGATTCTTCTGCATTAAATGAAATACAAAGCGTATTTTTTTATAGCTCCGACATAATCGTTTGTATCTGTTGACATAATTGTGTTTATTAGCGTTTTTTAGAAGGTCGTAATAAAACTAAGATACAAAAATTATATATTATTACCTCCATAATTCTATATTTTCATAACTTTCATTAAATGTATTTCGAGTAGTGAACTTCTTTACCTACTCATCCACTAATTAAAATTACAATTTCACAATAACCTCTAACCTTTAATAATGAAATGATTTTATTACAATAAAGTTTGTTTACTTAAAAGATTAAAAAAAAATTTATTGTTTAGCAGAGACTTTGTTACTAATTCTATATTCATTAATTAAACTTAATGGCTCTGCTCGATAACCATTTACAATTTTTTTTAAATTTTATTTAATTTTCAGTTATTATGGGATTCCTTAAATATTTTTCGACGTAGAGATTTAGCAATAATGCGAAAAGCTGAAATTTATAAATGTATAATATTTATAAATGTTTAAAAGAATTTTAGCAGCTATTTTGTACTAATTATTTTAGCTGAAATGTTCATTATACACAGTTTTATAAAAATAATCGTAAAATTCATTGAACGATTGAGTATTACATTTTAAAATGCAAGTAGAATTCAATAATTATTTCATTTTATATATGTAAAATGGTAGATAAGTAACTTCGTCATAAAGTTTTACATGATACGAGATTATACATATTTACATGATACGAAATTGCTTTATAACGAAAGAACAACATTTTAAGTTTTAAACTTTTTGTGGAAAAGAAGAATAAAACGAAATTTTTTTCCTGTCATCGGGTTTAGCGATTAGAGAGTGTTTTATCGTATAAATATTCAGGCAGCACTGTTTCATTTTAAATAAAATTGCATTTTGCTCCGGAAAAAAAATTACTTGAATTTGTCAATAGAAATTCCCTAATTGTCGCNAAAAAAAAAAAAAAAAACATCTTTTAGTTTAAATGCAAACTGTTGGCATTCAGTTCATCAAACGGAGAAAGTGTAATTTACACTGAAATACACCGATGAATTGATCGCCCTTTTTGAGGTTACCGATGACATTCGTAATATTGATAAACTAACAGAGAGAAATTTTTAAAGGAAAAAAAAAACGAATAATTAAGGTTACGTAAAAACGAAACATTTTTCTTTATACGTTCTCCTGATATGCAATCGAGTTCCTATGAAGGAGCTGTGATTGCCTTATATAATGGCCTGCGAGTATGTTTAGGAACTACGCCAGAAAGCCATACTAACTCGATGCGGTTCATGCACGTCCGATCCCATACAAAAAAGTATGAGAACTCTATTGGTAATCTATAATTTCCAACGAAAACCTTACAATCTGTTTCTTTTTTTTTTCTTGGCGGTAATCAGAGGGGTGGCAATCGCATACAGAGAGAATGCTTACTAAGAGTGATTCCTCGCACATCCTGCGAATCACACTTGCGTGTGATGACATGTGCGATCAGCAAATTTTAAGGTTATAGGAAGATATTTTTCGCATCAATTATTAAAAATTTTGATGTAAAACGTAACCTAGGTGAATTAGGTAGGTGGGTAATATATTTACATAGCACTAGAGCTGCACAATTGGATATTGGTAACGGTATGGAAAACATCCCTGAGGAAGACATGCCATCGCAAGTCAAAAGTCACCAATGTGAATTTGGAAATGATAACGAGAATCTGATTGGTGAGTTTTTAGCCAGTAAATATATTTCCCCACTCAGGCTCTCAGTCTCATCTCCGATAATCATAATCAAGCATGAATAATTTATCTGCAGTACGAACGGTTCTTGGATTCGTTTGCAAACGTATTGCGTTTTGTATGCAGTAAGAACTTCCCCTTAGTTCATGTTCCATGAAGTTTCCATTCCCACTGGAGAAAGTTTTTCCGCATGCGAGAAAACCACAAGCGTATGAGAACCGGATATTTGACTGTGAAAAACTCACTTATTTGCTTACCGCCAATGAAATTAACTTATAACTTTTTTTTTCTCTCAACTTTAACTTCCACTTTATGTAACATGATGTAATCGTGGGACGGCCGGGTAAATATAAACAAATCATGAAAGTGAAGCATTTAATTCATTTTAATATTTTCTTTAATTCATCTAATTCTTAATGTTTTGCCGTTCTTAATTATTAACATTTTAAATATTTTCTTTGAAAGAAAATATGCGTTCTGCAAGAAGTGTTATAAATTTAGCTCCGCTTTCTTATGATCGATGTAGCAGAAATTTATTATCTAATAAATTTGTTAAATGTTTTTCTAATTTATATCCAAGAACTTTTTCAAGATTAATTCCTTCTAGTATTGTAAAGGAGTTGAGTGCACCAAGTACTAATTTTTTTGTTTGTATTTATTTGTTTAAAATAATTGTCTGCTATTTTTTTCACCTCTATAATCTTAATTTTTATTGAATTCTACTGTGTTGAGTATAATATCAACAATGAAAGAAAAGGAATTTTAATAATAAAGTTATCATGTCGTGATCTGCGGCAGATTAATCGCTGAGTCTTTGCAACTTCTGGGCTGCGGTCCTCGAGAAATTAAAAAAAAATATATATATATTACAGAAAAGGACCAACTCGAAGTATAACTCGCAGCCTTTCCAGGACATGTATCTTATATTACTACTTGTGTCTTTTTTATCAAAAAATTGCCAGTGTGAATTCTATTTGTCGATTGCAGTTGATACGACAGATCATGATACGAAAATATCACCAAAATTTTTAAGTTTAATTTAGTAAGGGAACAAGGTTCAGCTTATTTTTTTAAATAGATAAAAATTTTCGTGGATCCCTCAATGGATGCAATGGGAATAACTCAGTGCCATAATGTTAATACAAATTACTTATTACTAATATTTAAACTAGCCATTACAAATAATATCTAATTTATTACTTTGGCTACAACTTTAAATAAATATGTACAGTACGCCAAAGAAAAGGAACACCCTGAATAACTTTTGATCTAATGATCTGATCTTCACGTTCTAGGACTCTATCTTAATGGTTAGAGGGGATGGAATGACCTAAATTATATTAATTAATTTAAGCTACTTAATCTACATTATCAGACACAGCGTACTTTCTTTGAATAAACATACCTTTTTTCCCCCTACAGATTCAGATTTTTGACCCCCATAATATAGGGGGGTATTCGCAAGCTTCGAAATATGGTCCATATTTTGGACCCCCTTAATGTTAATTTTATTTTTTGTGTATTAAGCAATTTGAAAAATCTGTACACAATTATAAATTTTGTTTATCCAAAGCTAATTGCATGCAAAAAATAAATTTAAATAGTTACTATTTTTATTATTTTATTTAATAACAGTTGTAAAATTTTTTAATTCTAAGGTATATACATTTTTACATAATCTTAAAGTATTTAAATTTATATGGCCAAATTCAAAATCTGTTTCTCCATGTGGTTCATTTTTCTTTTCCACACTGTACACTCATTAAACCCATCCCAAATTTTCCTTCATCAAAAATTATATTATTATATGGTCAGACAGATAAAAAAACATTTGAACGTTCCAAATGTCATCACCCAGCTGGATGCCTACTCAAGACATTCATTGAAGTAGTGTTAACTTACAAGTCCATTTTACGAATCGATACAGTCCTAAAAATCTAAGATGTTTAAAGTAAAAGCTTTGCTGGATATGTTGAGGTTTCTTGGTGCATTGAGTTGCATGTTGTTTCCTTACAGATCTCTTATCTTTTTGAGTTACTAGTCTCATGACCTTAATATTTTATAGTAAATTAAAAAAAAGTATATTGCTAAAATATATTGATCTTTACCAAACCAAAGAACAAGGATTTATCTTTACGATTTACTAGTCTTTTGACCTTAATATATTAAAGTAAATTTAAAAAAAAGTATACTTAATGATAAAATATATTGATCTTTACCAAACCAAAAAATAAGGATTTCTTATATTTACGATGTACTAGTCTTTTGACCTTAATATTTTATAGTAAATTAAAAAAAAAGTATCCTACTTAATGATAAAATATATTGCTCTTTACCAAACCAAAAAACAACGAGAATGAATGCCGTAATACCGAACATTCCCCTGAATCCAATTCGACCCTTACCCATAGTTTCATACGAAATACTTTATCTTGATATTGATTACCATCGTTCGATATGAACTGTAGCTGCGGCAAAGTCAAGGTGACAGTATATGTTCTTTGCCTAGACCTCATACCAGAAAGAAATTTTAAAAGTTGGAAAATAAATAAAAGAAATGGATGGGAGAGGGGGTGTAGTAAAAAGATGTTTTCTTTAAAATTAAAAAAAAGAAAGAATGTAAATTGAATTTTTATTTTTGTGAATGTTTATTTCCCACGCCAGAGATAGGGCTTAATCAGTATTCTATAGTATCAAACCAATTTACTGCATCTGAATACATAGTCTCGATTTTAATTGAATGTTTTATAATTATTTAGTACATTGGATGCTAAAATGAACACTGAGAAACATTGATTATTAATGTCTTATAATTATTTAGTATATTGGGTTCTAAAATAAACACTGAAAAACACTGATTATTAATGTCTTATAATTATTTAGTACATTGGGTGCTAAAATAAACACTGAGAAAAACTGATTATTAATGTCTTATAATTAATTAATACATTGGGTGGTAAAATGAATACTGAGAAACATTGATTATTAATGTCTTATAATTATTTAGTACATTGGGTGCTAAAATAAACACTGATTATTAATGTCTTGTAAATAATTAGTACATTGGGTGCTAAAATGAACACTGAGAAACATTGATTATTAATGTCTTATAATTATTTAGTACGTTGGGTGCTAAAATAAACACTGAGAAATAAAATAAATCTGTACCTAATTTGATGACAAACCGTTGCATTATTTAAAAAAAAGGTAAAATTTTATCACAAATATTTGGTTTACTTATTAATCTTTTTTTCTCTTCTTTTTTTGAGACTGATTATTTAAAAATGTAATGGAATAACATTTTTAAATAATGAGTGGAATTTTACAATATTTTGATTAAAATGCCTTACTTTAAAATCTTGTGTAAATAACTATATTTTTAATTTTAAAAAATATGCAGGTTTAAAATTTATTGATAGCATGTTTAACTTTTTTTTCTATTTCTAGGATGTTTTCATCGGTCGCATTTTAAACATTTTCATGTTTCTCACAATACATTGGCAGCTAGAGCTGATTTATATAAAGTTTTAGGAGTTTCTCGGAATGCTAGTCAAAATGATATTAAAAAATCATATTATCAAGTAAGCTTTAATTATTTTATTATTAGATAATTTAAAAAAATTTATGTTGCAGTAGAACTTCAATTATTTGACACCTTCAGAACTAGAGGAATGTTTGAAAATCAAAATCATCCAATAAAGGAGGAACCTTTTCAAATCGTTTTTTTCAACATAATGAACATTGAACTGCTGGTACAATCACTTGAAATAAGTAATGACCATAATAAGGTTGATTTCTGTAACATTCATTAAATTATTTTATTATTGATAAATTGTATATGACTTGTATAATATTTATCGTAGATTAACCATTCTAGAACTTTTATCAAACTTTTCTAGGTTTAAGTTTTTTTGATGCCAAGGAAAAAAAATCTAACTTATCAACATTCTTTTCCTCATCAATTTCTCTTTGTTTAGTTGGTCATCTTTAGATGACACCAACGTAATTTTTTTTAAAACTACTCCAAGCTTCAGCTAAATTGAAAGTAGCACTCTTATTATGTAACAGTTCCAAAATTTTAAAATATTTTAACTACATTTTTTAGTTTATAATAGCAGTTTGGAATAATAGCTTTTTACATATCTTTCCTACCTACTAGGTTGTATTCATGATAAAATGCATATTGGAACACTTTTAAGTCACATGGAAAAAGGTGTCTTATTAGTGAAATGCTGTTTCATAGGGCATTGGATAGTCAGGGTTCTACTGTTTATTTGATTAATAAAAGTCCTTGATTAAAAACTTGATTAACTTTAAATATATACTAATTGTAAATAACAGTCGACATGTTTCCAATGATCAAAGACAGATGCCTACTTTCAAGACTTGCCTGATGTAAATTAAAGCAATTTTATATTAAAAAATTATTTTTGCATTTTTCAATGTCAACTTTATGCTTACTATTTCAAATCACTTTTGTTTCTTTTCATTCACACCCGGTAAGTATTGAAAATGGGCTCACGATTTTAAGCGCTTGAAACATGACTGCTATTTCCAATTAGTGTATTTTGGAAGCAAGTGAAGTTTTTAATTGAGATATATCTGATTGCTTCAGTTTCTTGAGATCATTTATTTAATAATAAAAGGCCTATTTGATTTGTAATTAAAAATAGTGTTTGTAAATTTTAGCTTGCAAAAAAGTACCATCCCGATACGAATAAAGATGATCCTGAAGCTGCAAAAAAGTTTCAGGAGGTTTCATCAGCATATGAGGTATATTTATTTTTGCTCTGTGTCATAAGTTTTAAAATAAAAGATTTATTATATTTTTGTTTAGACTGATGAGAAATGTAAAAAAAAAATATTTTTGTTGCTGTCTTTTGCGAATTTTTTTTTTTTTGCTTTCGTTATTCATATTTTACAATTAGTAATAAAAATGTTCATTTTGATTATTGTTCATTTCTTTTTTGATTATTTATGGGGTATATATTTAGTTAATTTGTCAGTGTTTTAATTTAATTAATTTGTCAGTCGCCAAATACTTTTTTATTATGTGTCTATCGTAAAAGAAGCAAAAGTCAATACGCAATTTTATGTAATTTGAGAATAAAGTGTTATATCAGGAATTAAAATCGATTTAATGAATACTTTAATATTTCCGATTTCCTTTATTAAACCTAGCTATTTGTTCATCAGTTAAGAATTAGTTTAAGATTACATAGACAAAGAAATAAATAAAAAATTCACAATTAACTTTTGTAATATTTGTGTATGTTTAAATAAGTCAAAACTATGTTTTTCATAATCTATTACAAATTATTGTAGTGATAAATGACACATGAATTTTTTATTTGATTTTTTATGTGAAAAATGTTTAAAATTTTATTTTCAGCAATATATGACCTGATTTTGTATATTTTCATGCTTAGATTTTTAAAATTTTTTTAACAGAATGTTTTGAAAAGCATGTTTGCTGATTCGCATTTAAAGATGGCTGTCTTCAGCGTTATTGTTTTTTTTTCTTATTTTTTAAAAAAGCCTGTTAATACCCACTTTTTAAAATAAATATTTAACCCATTTCCGGCCAAACGTGTTATAACGCACCATTTCAATAAATATTTTTTTTATTAACACTGTGAAGTATATTACTCCCTAATTTTATTTTTCTGCTATTGTTAAGGGTTCTTAAGACACCCAAAAATTAATAGTTATTAAATTGGAGTAAACACTTTCAGGTAAGAAATTTTTAAACTATTTAAGTTTTTTTTAAAACTCAAAATGGTTTTTGAAAATGTATAATTTTTCCTTTTGAGATTTATCATTATGTTTTTATGATGGATTAAAGTTGCATTTCATAAAAAAAACAAGCGTTCACCTAAAGGGTTTGTTCATTGATTTGGTGAATGGTGCCTATGCGCCCCATTTTATTTCTTAAATAAAATATAATTTTTTATACAAGAAATTTTTTGTGTGTCTTAATGAATGTAATGTAAGCATATTTCAATGAAAATAATACCACATTTTTTAAAATTTATATGCTTGGCCTGAAATGGGTTAATCACAGTTTTTTAAAATGTTCCAAAAAATAATGTATGTGCATGAAGGAACATAATGTTTTAAATCTCATATCAGTAAAAAAAAGTAAAGTGATGAAGCTAATAAAACTATCCTGTATAGAGGATGCTTTGAAATAGCAGGTTAATCTAAAATTTTTACATACTATTTTAATATTTATGTGAAGTTATAACATTTATATGAAGCTGAAGTTAAAATTTATATGGTTTTTTCCCTCTTAGATACTTGGTGATGAAACAAAGCGAAAAGAATATGACCAATGGGGTACACAATCTGAGTTTGGTCAGCGGAGTAATACTTCAAGTGAATTTCATTATCACTCTAATATAGACCCTGAAGAATTGTTTCGCAGAATATTTGGTGATTTGAATTTTAAGCCTAGAATGTCTGATTTTGAATATACTGATTCTTACTTCGGCTATGGAGCTTCTGAACATGTTTGTAATGTTTATTTAGCTTTTATTATGTTGTTTTTTATATACATTTTCATTTTGAAATTGTTAAATGCTTTTAATATTTAAAATGTATGAACTAATTTTTCACATTTTTTAAAATTTTTTGTATTTTTTAATTCTGTAACTTTTTACCTGTTGTATTTGAAATTTTGTTACTTATTTAATATTGTAGATATTTATATATTAGCTATAATTTTTTGGTTTATTTGTTTATAGTTTTATTTATTTATTTTTTAGATGGTTGTCTTTTATGCGTTGCTTCCCCGCATGATAAAAAAAGTATAAATATCCCTTTTAAGACTGGAATATATTTCTTTAAAAAACAACTTTTTTTATCCTTCTAAGTTTTAATGCGACTCAGAGATAAGCATTTTCCTCTTAGTTAAATTAAAAAGTATTCTCCTTATGGAACTTAGAAATAATACAATTATTAGGATAATTTTTCTTGACATTTGGAAAATTTTGCAAAAAATGTTCTTAAATGTATTTTATTTTTATAATTTTATAACCGTCGTTGAACAGCTGACCCAAATTTATGGGCTAACGACTACTAATGTTCAACTCCGTAGCCTTGTAGTTTTGAACCAAATTCAGAAGACAAGGGAACTCCTGGATCAAGTATTGGGCGAAATTTGCCTTCGAGGAGGACTATTCTTAAATAGATGTATTGCAAAAAATTTACACTGAAATGAGCTGAAAGTCTCTAATTATTTGTTAATAAAAGTCATATTAAGTTTGCTATAGATTTTATGCTGTAGATAATGTAAAAAAATATAATTTTTAGTTTATTTGTAGAATTTTTAGCCATTTCCATTTCTTGTCCATTTCTTTTTATTACCAAGAAACTATTTTTCTTTATAAATAATTTAGTACAAATTTCTTATTAAAGTATTATTCATACAAATGTGTTCCAAAGATAAAATATAAGATAAAATATCAAATATATTTTTTGATAATTGTTTTTCCTTAATGTTTGGCAGGTACATTTACATTTGGATTTCTTTGAAGCTACCAGAGGTGCTCAGAAAATAGTAAAAGTGAATGTAATTGACACGTGTCCCACCTGTCGCGGCAGTTGCTGCGTGCCTGGAACAAAAATGGTTCGCTGTGATCACTGTAATGCGACTGGAATGGTACGTTCAAATCTCTGATTTCGACATTATTTTTTGGCTTGTTTGTTATTGTAAGAAAATAAAACCAGGTAGATGGTCTCTTTAATGAATAGTATAAAGACTCATTGATCAAACTTTATCGTAATTGGCTGTCAAGTGTCACATTATGCAAAATACATGTTGAAATTTTGATTCTAATAATTTACATTTTTGTAAAGATATGGAGAAAGTAAATTTAAAAATATAGAAAGTAATATAGAATGTAAATTTAAAACTATATAATTTTTATTCTAAAACAATATCTAAAAGTTAAATTTTATTAAAATGATTTAGAAGCTGATTTTGATTTGCTTTTTGATATTAAAATAACTTTAAATGTGTCCTGTAAATGTAATTTTTTTGTGCCAATTATAATTGGTTTTTATTATTTTAATTATAATTTAAAATCCACTAATGGTCTTTACAGAATCTTAAATAAATTATTTGCTCATTCATGTGGTGTAAATTTATCCAATAGTTCTTATTAAGAGTCTGTATATTTGTAGTTTAATTTTTTCTATTATGATACATTTGTGTCAAAGCAAAGTAAAAATTTTGCTTCCTCAATACATGCTATCTGTTTTTTGTTTTGCCATATATGCTTTATGAAAATAAATACGTATTACAAAGGTATGAAAATTAAATTCTGGTATAAAATACTTAAAAGGTTGACTTGATTTTTTTAAAAAATTTGATACCTCTAACTAATTTCCGGAATAAAACTCACAGAAATGTATGGCATATTACAAACCAATATGCCATAGGTTTTATGTATTATAACCAATTGCCATAAATATTTTACATATTTATGGCAATACGTTATTGCCAAACTTTTCAAGTCACAGTCAAAATGTTAAATATTGAAACAAAATCTGTATGTTTTTAACGAGCTAAAAATTACTATCCTGCCACCATTGGGACAAATTTTGAGAGAAGTACATTTTTTGGCTGTTTAATAAAACACAATCCAAAACAGGAAAAAATTAAGACATTTTTATTCATTCTGGTATTAATATAGAAAGGGGAAAACCGAACAACATTTCAATTTTATCTTCTCTTTTAACATGTCACACTTCTTTTTTAATTTCATCTTCTTTTTTATAAAGTTATATGAGACATGGTGTGTAGCGTTTTTAAAAAGTGCTTAAAAGTGCTTATTTTCGACTTTCGCTTTTTAAAAGCCCTTTAAGGTGCTCTTTCATTGGGTGTTTTTAAAAAGTGCTTCATTTTCCCTTTTTGAAAATAAGATTTTTTTCTTTACCATGTCGATTTTCTCCACATATTAAGCAAAAGCATGCTTTTCACATTGTTCAATTCAAAGTTTTCACAATTCATTCAATTACAATCTGTTTCGGCGTCTCGTCAGTCGATAGCGTGTGAAAGCGCCAATCATTTTACATGTTTGATGAAATCCTTGAAAGTCCACATGTGCATCTACTGAGTTGGGGGGTTTGGCGATATTCTTGCACCCTCATGTAAACTCTGCTGCATTTTGCAAGATATTCTCAATTTCAGGCTTCATTTTCCACCGTCTGATATCGAATCAAAACACCTCTTCATCTTTTTATAATGGCTAATATAATCAAGAAAACCGTTCTAAGTCACAAACTGGTAATTTTATCATGATCGTGTAAAGTCTTTGAAAATTTTTTTGCATTTTATTAATGTATATAGTGCTGAAAAATATTTTTTGAGTGCTTAAAAAGTACTTAAAAGGTTGTTATTTTTTGTTGAAAGATTTGGCTACGCACCCTGTGAAAGCAACTACTGACTAAGTTATCTTCTTTCTTATAAAAGTAAAATTCTTCCATTTTTAAGAATCCTGAAGCAACTTCAAATAAATACACCACTGTCGTCTGCATGTCCTTTATTTTTCTTCTTGACAGCTTAAAATAAATATTAAATGTCATTGATGACGTCAAAAATCTTCCTTTTGCTCTTCATCTCATTTTTCTTTCTTGTATCTTTCAAAAACTCTAAATCTATTTGAAAATCTTCAGAAAAAAGTACTCTATTCCAGTTAATTTAACTCATAATGAAAGCAAATGAGGTAAATGTGTTGATTTCATCTTTCAGTCTGATTTATTGTTGATTTTGCTATTCTGATTTGTTGTTATAACAGATTTTAGGGCATTTGCATTGCTTTTTTTTTTAATGATCTTTATAATCTTTCTTTTATTTGATATGTGCGAACAACAAAACTTATCTGTCTCATTCATTTTGGGTATTACAGTTCATCAAAGTTGAAAGTTTTGGTTTTGCATTGTGACATACACTCTAGTCACCAAACATTTAAATTATCCAAAAATTGAATTTCTTCCAGAATATTGTATTTTAGTTTTACAATATTATTGGTTTCTAAGTTTAAGAGCAACATACACTTATTTACTCCAAACTAAAAAACATGAATGTTTTAAAAACAATTAGGTCAACATTGATTATCTGCTATTTTATAGGTTTGAAGTGCATTTATTTTTTCCCAATTGAAATGAGCTATTGGTTTAATATATTCATAATTAATTTAATTAAAGTAACATAGAATAAACCTAAATTATTTTATTATTGTTTTTATCAGGAGACTGTTTCCACTGGTCCATTTATAATGAAGACTACTTGTCGTAAATGTAATGGAAGTGGTATGTTTAATAGGTTTCCCTGTACAGAGTGTTTTGGCAAAGGAGCTTGTGTTCAACAAAAGGGGTTAACTGTAAATGTGCCACCTGGTATGTTTTTTACTAATATTTACAGAGTTAAAAATGTATATTAATTTTTATACGTCCATTGAGCAAGTTTGTCTGCAAAATATATGCCCTAATATAATTCTTACGTAAACAAATATTTTTTTCAAATGCATGTAATGGAAAACATATCAATGAACGTACCTAGTATTCATTTGTTAGAAAAGATGACATTAGCTCTCTCTTGTAGAATTTTTATTAATTATATCTTTCATATTTTTTTCATTATTTTTTTATAAGTTTAGGATCTTAACAAGTATATTCTTTTCTACATGATGCTGTAAAATGATGTCTCTCTTGCAGGTTTTCATATTAAAGTTTTACCTTCTAAATTAATTTTCTAGTGCTCGACAATTACGGTAAACCTTTTTTTTAATAAGAATAAATACAACTGGGGTAATAAGGAAGAATTAGCTAACTTTTTTTTTTATACAAGTTCTGAATTGTACAGTTGAATTTAATAACATTTAAGTTTTTTCAAATATTATCAATATTTTTATTTTTCTTCCCCTTAAACGCTCTCAGCTGGCATCTTAGTGATTTCCCTTAATCTTTAAGGGTAGATTAATGAGCAATTTACAATATTAAATATTAACATGTCACACATACCAAGTTTCAAATGCTGGAATTTAAAGTTATTGGAAAGAAAATACATCTTTGTATTTGTTGATAATTTTTGTAACATAAATAACTAGATTAATCTCTTATATTTCTGTTCATGTTATAAATTTTTAAAGACTCTNATTAGTATATTTGAGATCACCCCCGGGAGCCATTAAGATTGACTTTTAGTTCGTGAAAATCCGATCATTAGAACGAAAGTTATTTAGGGTGATATCTTTTTTTTTTTTGCGGACTGTACCTAGTATTAATTTGTTAGAAAAAATGACATTAATCAAATTTCAGTTTTTTTTTTTCATTATGTAAACAAATATTTTTTTCAAAAGCATGTAATGGAAAACATATTAATGAACATACCTAGTATTCATTTGTTAGAAAAAATGACATTAATCCTTTGATGCAAAATTTTTATTGATAATATTTTTCAGTTTTTTTTCATTATGTAATTAAATTTTCAGTTTCAATTTTCTTCATTTTTTCATTACGTAAAAAATTTCAGTTTTTTTTTTCATTATGTAAACAAATATTTTTTTCAAGAGCATGTAATGGAAAACATATCAATGAACGTACCTAGTATTCATTTGTTAGAAAAAATGACATTAACTCTTCGATGCAGAAGCTTTATTAATAATATTTTTCAGTTTTTTGATTCATTATTTTCAATAATTTAGGATATCAACAAGGATATTCTCTTCAACATGATGCTTTAAAGCAATGCCTCTCTTGCAGGTTTTCATATTAAAATTTTACCTTCTAGATTAATTTTCTAGTGCTCCACAATTACGGTAAACCTTTTTTTTAATAAGAATAAATACAACTGGGGGAATAAGGAAGAATTAGCAAACTTTTTTTTTATACAAATTCTGAATTGTTCAGTTAAATTTAATAACATTTACGTTTTTTCAAATATTATCTATATTTTTATTTTTCTTCCCCTTAAGCGCTCTCAGCTGGCATCTTAGTGATTTCCCTTAAATTTTAAGGGTAGATTAATGAGCAATTTACAATATTAAATATTAACTGTCACACATAACAAGTTTCAAATCCTGGAATTTAAAGTTATTGGAAAGAAAATACATCTTTGTATTTGTTGATAATTTTTGTAACATAAATAACTAGATTAATTTTTTATATTTCTGTTCATGTTATAAATTTTTAAAGACTCTTTTTAATACGCTATGCTACACTTGTTTATTAATTTTTTTAATTTTTACATATAATCAGCATTTCTTGCAATTTTTTATACTCACATTTCAAAATTATTGCAGTATCAACTTTTATATGTTTTCTAAATTTTCTATTTTAAAACAAAATTTGATTTGTCACTACTATTTGATTATTATTTGTACTGCTATTTGATTTTTGTTCAGTGCGTTGACAGATTGTTATTTCAGTTAATGGAACACTAATGGAGCTGATTGATAAACTCTATGTAATGATTTTTAAATATCTTATGAATTATCCTTTTAATTATTTTGGCAAAAAACTCATAGATTCTTTTAATTATTTTAGCAAAAACTGATAGATTCTTTTAATTATTTTGGCGAAAACTCATGGATTCTTTAAATTATTTTTGTAAAAACTTTAATTCTATAAAATTATAATTTCCAAAACCATTGAGAAATATAATCTTTTTTTATTTTATTTTTCTGAACCTTAGTGTCATTTTGCATTTGGGGGATTTTACAAATTTAGTAGTATTTGCAATATAAAATTTTCTAAAAAAATTAGAAAAAAAAAGATACTGAAATGCTTCAAATGTTAGTTAACATATCATTTGAAGAGTATAAAAGTGTGTATTTTATATTTGTATTTTTTAACGTGTTTTTGAATAACAAAAATGGTATGTTAATGTCATTCAAGAACATGTGAATTTGAAAAAGAAATTTACTTTTATCAGCGCTCTTACTGTACTCAATGTCATATCTGGGTATATTTCTAATACTAATGATAAAATATGGACTATTCTAATCTCCATTCATCATACATGTGGCAGATGAATTATCAATATATCTTTCATTTCGACAATTAGATGATATGAGATGCAATGCTTAAGAATGAATGTTTTGTGTTCTCAACAAGCAATATGTAAAGCTATACTGGCTTATCTTCAACCGAAAACTTGGATAAGAGTTATCCGTATATATAATTAAAATTAATTTATATTTCACCCACTTCTTTTAAGTCATGTGAATGGTTAAATGCACTTTTCTGGAAAATGGAGAGCATCTAACAAAGTTATCACAAAATCTTCCAAATTAAAATGCAACTTCATTTACAACTATAAATTACTCTATTTTTGTTCTTACAGTGAAACTTTTTTCTAAATATATTTGTGCTTTTCAGTCTTGTGAATAACTGTAAAGTCATGGCACTGAATATTATTCCAGATCAGAATTTAAATCAGTATTTGAGTTTACTCTTTTTCTTATCAATGTTTTTCATGCATTCATATTAGAAAAAAAATTTTGGTGAGAAAATTTTTAATTTTTAGTATAACTTCTGCAAAAGGTATAAAATATAAGTGTGGGATGAAGTATGCGATTGACATTGCAATGAAATTTTTTTTTCAGAATAAAAAGGAATATGTTGGTATAGTTTAAAATCATTATCATTGTGTTGAAAGATTAAAAATGTGGACAAATGTTTTTATTATTATTTTTTTTATTGTATAAAACATGTTAAAAAAAATTGTTTCAGAATTCAAACATTCCCTAATTTCTGGAATAAAATATGTCTGTTGTGTATCTTATGATTAATATCTGAATAACTTTTTTAGGTGTTGAAGATGGGCAGACTGTTAGAGTAAAAAGTGGACTTCAAGAAATTTTAGTAACTTTTAGGGTACATATTCATTTTCTTTTCTTAAAACTGGGAGTTTTTATAATTTGTGTATATAGAATTAAAAGAAATCATTTGGTGTTTACATGGTATATTTAAATATAGAAAGATTGTTATGATTAATGCTATGTTTAGTACCTTTTAAACTAATTATATTTAAATAAACTGTCTAATTTATAATTTTCAACATTAGGTATTGCTTAAATTAGTTAATATGTAACTGTTTTACGGGTTATCAAAGCTGTGCTAATAAACTATCTAAGAGTAATAATATTTATTTAAAAGTGATAAATCATTTATAATTGTAATGTTTTGACCAATCAAGAATCTCATAATGCTACACTGGTGTGTGTAGCATTACACTGGTAATGTTACACACGCTCTTTCGAGAAAGCTATTCTCTTAAAATATTGAATGTAAATAATTGATATATGTTGTTAAGTATCTAATAATATTGTTATTATTGTTAAATATTTTGAAAAAACTGTAACTTACAAAAATAAAAAGGAAGAGACATATGACATATCTATCACCACTATGCTGGCACACAGATGCTATGTCAATTTAAATGTAAAAAAACAATTCAGATCTCTCTACGCATTAGCTGTAGAAATAAAGTCAGTATGAATTAATCACTGATCTGAGCAGAAGTCCTCTATGGTAGTAAAAGTGAAATGTAAAATGAACATAACCAAAACAAGCTAATTTTTTAAAGAAACATTCTACACAAAATTTAATGCAGTCTGGGAAAATACACAATTGACCAATTTTTACAATCAGGAAATTTATAATTGAGGTAAGCAGCCAAGCACAGCAAAAGTCAACAAATCAAATGAGGTATCTAGTTTTCTTATTTATATCAGAAAAGTATATCTTCGTCGTTTTTAAGAAAAAAATTTCAAATTAAAATTCAAATATTATTTGTTAAAAAAAGTCATATTCTTTTTAACTTATCAAAATTCCATTTGTTTACAACTTGAGATACTTAGATACCTATGATACTTAGATGCTTGATACTTGAGATACCTATAGGTTGAGAACTTTTATATTGGAAACTTTTTCATCAAAGCAAGTAAGTTATGCTGCTGTAAATGTGAAATTTCTTTTTTCAAATGTGAAGTGCACGCTTAATTTTCTGATTTAAAAAAAAGTCTGATTTGATACTAGTGTTTAGTAAAATTGGGAGAGACATTGATGTCATGCAATCATTATTGATCCAATGTTTGGATTGTCATTTTTTTTGTTGAGGTATCTGAAATTACTATATATGCAGTATGTGTGTGATGAGTATTGCTCCTGATGTATACATGGTGTCGAGTACACCTCAAGAACAATTCTTGTGACCAGATGTTGATGACTGCTTGAGGATATTGACGAAAGTTTGTCCAAAAAACATTTTTCTCTACTTTTAAGTAAATAATGATTATTGTGGCGATTATCGTTATCTTTTCCCCCCTATCGTGATTCATCAAGCAGGGATCTGCATTTTGCTGACATGAAAAATTCTAATGTGGCTGCGAATTATTGAGAGTCAAATTGTTTTTTTTTTACTCTCGGCTGTTGGAACATACTTTCTTTTAATTACGCAAATCCTTGGATGTTGATTTTTTTGCAATCAATTCAACCGTTTATCATTTTTTGACCGCTATTTTGCAAAAACATGCACGTCTTTAATATTCCTTGTTAGAAAATATTAAAAAAATACAATGCTCAGATTAAAAATTGCCACCAACTATATGCAAGGTATCCGCACAAATGGAAAGTCATGGATTTCGGTATTGAACAAAATTTGTCATGAAATGTCATGATTTTAACTATTTTCTTAAAAAAAGTCATGAAAAGTCATGGATTTAGGTCGTTGAAAAATCTAATTTTAAAAATGGAATTTACACACCCCCCCCCCAATTTTACGGTGTTCCAAGTATCTGAATTTGTAACAAAATCCACTCTCACAGTCATATTTGGTTAAAATATAAATTGTTTTTATCGTGTTCTTTCAAAAAAAGAAAGAAAAAACATAATTTCTAGAGCGAATTATCTTTTAAACTTCTGTGATTTCAGAATTTTTGTTATTATTTATTTTTTTATTTTATCAATTTAAAATTCTAGCTGAATCGAACCAGTAATTTTTTTGATTTGTTTAAAATTTCATTCTGAAATGAAAACGGAAAAATCAGGAGTATTTCTTTCCTTTCCGATGAACAAGAAAAGTATCTTTAGAATGTAATTCTGCAGAAAGAAAAAAATTATTTGCTTTTGTATTTTTTTCAGCTATTTTATTGCTTCAACTCTTTCTTTACTCTGTTTCTTAAATTTAAAATCTATAAATATGAAGATGCAGAGTATAACAGTTTTTGGTTATTCCTATCATTTCAATGAATATTGTTATAATGCTCTTTTAAATTTATTGTTGTGTTTTTGTTGGAGAAGATAGTAACTTCGTTAAGATAGTAACTTCGATAGTAACTTCGTTAATTCTTGGAATTAGTCATGAAAAAAATTTGAATTTAGAAATCTAAAATGTAGCAGATACCCTGCATATGCAAATTTTTAATAATTTATTTCAATTTGAGATTTTTTTTAAATGTTTATTATTATGTACTAAATTTATGATGAGGAAATGTGACTTGGAAGTAACATGTGCCTTTTAGCGTCAGCTTGTCAGTTCTAAATTTTTCTCATTCCATCAGCTAAGTTTTTTTATTTTTCTGTTCATAAAGATTTTTGTAAATGCTGGCACTATGTGCATTTTAATTTTGTTCTCATACTTATAATTACTTAAAGACATAGTCTGTGCAGGCTAATGTATACCACACCCAGCACCGTTCCGTGCAAGTAATTGCACTTTTTAAAAAAAATTTTACAATGTATTATGTTACTAATGTATCAAGTGGCTCATATAATTTATTGATATTTTATTTTAAAAATCAAATACAGTTAATTGTTGAAAACTAGACAAATTTATAGCATTTTTTGACTCTTAATTTGTTATGTAATTGAGGATTGAGTTTATTACAGGAATATAATTGCCAAATACTATAAAAAAGCAAAAATTCAAAATTTTGTAATATAAAAATTAAAACAAAACATACCATGATAGTGTTATGATTACGTTGCCAAAATCTTAATTCTTCAGTTCTAGTGCTTGAGTATAATTTCTATATGTAAAGTAATTCTGCAACAAGAAAAGAAAAAGAATTGCTTTGATACAAATCGTAAAAAAAAAATATAGTGCTAAAGTAACAATTAAACAATGGATTGGATAAAATTCTTTATTCAAAGAAATATTTTAAATATAAATTTTGGATTTTAGATACTACTAAAATAATGATTTTTTTAATCAAAAAAATTAATATATATATACATATGATATACTCTCGATATTTCAAAATTGAAACCCCCCTGGAAAAATTTTGAGATAACAGTTTCAGAACTAAATATGTTCTTAAAAGTAGAATTAACAAGTTTTCGAGATAAAGAAGATTGAGATATCGATAGTATACTGTATGTATATATATGCAATTTTATGTGCTTGACTAACCATGTAAAGCATTTATGTTAAGAATATGTTCATACATATACATAAATGTTTATGCATGTGTATATACATACATAAATTCTTCCAGCAAGCTAGTACAGATATTGAATTTTTTTTAAAGACTATTATTGTTTTTAAATTCTATTAATAAATAATTATTTCTTGCATGTTGACTTAACATGTTTACTTTTTTTTTAAAATATAAATAAATGAGTTTTATTTGTGTCAAATTTATTTTTATTGTGCAAAATTTTTTTTTTTCTTCCATGTTCTGAATTTAATTTCATATTTAGGTTCAAGAGAGCAAATATTTTCGCCGTGATGGTTCTGATATTCATACAGAAGCTACTATTTCTGTTTCTCAAGCATTTTTTGGTGGAGAAACTAAAATACAAGGCTTATATGAAGACATTGTATTAAAAGTTTGTAAAAAAAAATTTTCTTCTAATTTTGCTTACTAATTTTGTTTGATAGGACAAAAATTATTGAAATATACTAAAACATGCTGACTTTTTTTCCTATGATGGCAGATTAATTACTTGGCCTGTTCTAACATATTTTTGAATGATGTCAAAACAACTTCTTTTCGATTTGCAAAGTTATTTTTTTAGATATATATTCTATAATCAGCTCTTGCCACAGTTCTCCCTAGGAATAAGAAAGAGAGCAGAGTGCTTCCTCACAGAAAAGGACACTTTGAGTTTTGAAAGGGCATCATCAATTAACACCGCAAAAGTTTCTCAAAATAGGAAATATTATTTAATAACTGTATTTGATCGCCAAAAATATTTAAATTACCCTCTTATACTATTTTATGTAATTATTTGAAAAAGTAATTGTTACTCATCAACAAAATAAGAGAAAAATTTGTTGTTATAAAAAATAATTAACGGCATGCTAGAAGACAATTACTGTGCAAAATTTATTTTCAAAAAAATTAACTAAAAAAAAAAATTATTAATTGATAAACAACTTGAAAGCTTTTTTTCTATAATTTAAACTGAAAATTATGAGAAAATAAACATTTAAAGGTGCGTTTTTTTATTTAAAAAAAAGGTATTTATTTGAAATAAATTTGAAATCACTTAAAAAATTAATTTATTAATTTACTCCCATCTCCCTGAAAAAAGAGAGACTTTTAAAAATATTGAACCAGTTGAAAATAATCCTAACAAAATAAATATTTGCAATAGTAATCAGAATTAAACCAATAAACTCAGATCATTTTGCCAATGTGTAATTATTCAACAGTGAATCGGTTTAAAATGGCGTATGAATAAAAAAGCCGTGTTCTTAAGGGAAGGCAGGGTATTTTTCCAAAAGGACAAGAAGGTGCATCAAAGGGCAGACAGGGTGACCTTCCTTCTAAAAGCACTTAGGGAGAACTTTTTTGTAGTATCACAACTAGGGAACTTGGATCATTTACAGTTATTGTCTGTTGAAAATGAGTTTTATTTTAAAGGTTTTTTCATTTTTTTTTTCTATTTTCATTTAGTATTTGAAATCTTATAATATAATATCCAACAATCATCAATTCAATCCAGCAATTAAAAATCATTGATATTGAGCAATGTAAAAGAATAGTAATAATAATGAGCATCAATCATATATAAATGTTGCCAATTGATGTATTAAATGTCTTATTAAGACTGTTAATTTTTTTTTCTAGATTTTTGGTATGAAAACATTTGTAAGGCTTAATTATGGCTTTCCATTTTTTTAGGGAAATTATCAAATTTTAATAATAATTTGGTGCACAGTGTGTCTATTTTTATTTTAAAAAAAAATCTTTTTAAATTAGAACTATGTATTTTCATTTCTAATTGTTGCTTCCTACAGTTGCTGTCTTATGAAATGGGTTTGTAAGTGTAAAAGTAGTGCAAAGTGATAATTGTGAAATTTTCAGTTTATTAATGGTTTATATGTATAAAAGCTGATTATTTCATTGTGTACATTGTGATTATTTCATCTTACAAGTGGATAATGTTAGTGATATAGATGTGTTTGGAAACTTGTTTTAAACTGTTTAAATGAAAACTGGTGACAAAAGTCAAAATATTAACCTTCCTGTACTAATAAACTTATAACTGGTTCACATGATGCAGAAAAGTTAAGGTGAAATAAACAAATATAATCTTTCATGGCATTGAATCAGCTAATCTTATCTACTTGACTTTTCCTGATTCATTTTTTTCTTGTCATCTAAATGAATATTAATCAATTTGACTTCAAGAAAAAAAAGAAAAACTTATTTTTGAAATGTAGTTAATTTTGTTTTAGATTCCTCCTGGTACCCCTTCACACAAAGTGTTTAGATTTCCCAATAAAGGGATTAAGAATACTACAGGATATGGAAACGGAGATCATTATGTGCACATAAAGATTAGTGTTCCAGGGTAAGAAATCTCGTCTTTATATTCTAAAAATGCTTTTTTTTTTTAATGTATTAAGAAATTTTCTGAAGTTTTTCTGTTTTTTTTTTAAAGTTTTTTATTTCATTTTTTTAATATATATTTTCAGATTATAGCGAATGATTATGTTATGTTAATGTTTTAGCATATTAATATTCATTGCAAATTTTCTAATAAATTTCAGTATCCTTTTTTTTACTTTCACATACATTATCTCATCCGAACATATATCAAATTAATTTAAATATGTTAATATAACACAGCGTTCCTGATAAAACATTGCTTCCTTATTTGTCCTGTTTTTTTAACTTTTTGTTCTGATATTCCTGATTTTTTTTTGTGTGTTCAGAACATTCCATATTCTAGGTAAACAATTGTGAATTTTGAAATAATCTATTCGCATCGAAAAATTAGAAAATTTATCTTTCAATCTGACACTGTTTTATTCAAATTATTACGCGAGCAAACATCTCAAAATTTGATTGTTCAAACTTAAGGTTCATTCACTTAATATATACAATGTTCGGGCTTATAGCTTAGCTTACCTGCAAAATTCCTTGTTTCAAACTTTTTTGGCATTCAGTTATTTAATGAATAAGAAACTCATTTATCAATTTTATGTTTTCAAATTTTCATGATGATGAATTCAAAGGTCAGATATTCATTAATTTCAGCAAATGCAAAAAAAAATCTTGTAGGGTGGTGTTATGTAGTTTAGCAATTATTGATTCGTCTCTTTCATTTGATTTTAAGATAAGCTCAATCTCAATCAACAATACAGTAATCATATCATTGAGTTTTTAATTGGTGATTTTAAAAACAGTTATTGCTATCATTACTTTTGTACATAATGTAAAGGGTCATATTTACTGTGTTTTCTTTTTGAAATCATTAAAACCCTACTTTAAAATCATCTGATTAAGGAAGTCTTAAACCTGACTGTAAATTTTAATTGATTATTGGTATGTGGAATTATTAACTAATTAATGCTGCTTATTTTTTGAATGGAACAGTATAAAAATTTTCTATATATTGTACTAAAAATATTATGAGTTGTTGAGTTCTCCTTTTATAAAATTAGGCTTGAATCTTAATGAACTTTCTATTCTAAACCATTTAATTTTGAAATTAAAAATAGTATATTCCCTCATTCTTTTGTTATAAAATTTATTTTCAATTAAGTGGAGATAATTCATTCATAGTTTGCACTTTTGAAAAGTAGTCTGGAACCCTACTATGATTTTCAAGAAATAGGAATCGTCTTTCCTCCAGGAAACCTGTAAATAGAATCTGAGACTCCTTTCTTTCCTAAAACAATACCATGAACATCAAGATATCAAGTTTCCAAAGAAGCAAAACATTTCTGTTATGCCGAAAGATGTGCTCAAAAGGGGATGGAGAGTCAGATTTAGCCAATCATTAACAGGTTTTAGTGTTTCAGGAGTAATAGATTTTATTGGATGGTTAAGAAAAATAGATTTTAATGTAAAATGCAGAATGTAAATAAGGATCGATTTTGATATTTTTTCATGTGATATTTTCTCATATTTCTTTTTTAAAAGAGCAAAAACGAAATACGTTTTAATATTCATTTCTGAAATATAATTTTTAATATTTTGTTGTCATATAAATTTATTATAAAGGCTTTTATCTGCTATAAGTATTAAATTTAAATGTGAAACATTTTATATTTTTTATGTTGTCTAATAGAATGTTAATACTTAACCACTAAAACATACAGTATTTTTTTAGATGATATAATGTATTCTAATTTACACTATCCTAATTAGTACAAGTTTACTTATTTGTTGCTTCCAAAATTTCACCTTTGTTCTTTTGTATGACAATTGTTCACAAAATATGATGGATCATAAGGACAATGCTACATTACACATAAGTACATTCACAATATTTACATACACATATTTAATTTTGTGTTTATTTTATTTTTAATTTTGTAATATGCTGTATGTACAAATCAAAAATATTTTTGATTTGTGCAAACTTAGAAAGTAATTGTGCAGGAGGTAGAAAGTAATTTTGATATAGTTTTTGATATGTTCTGTTGGAAATTCAGATTGTATTTAATTTAAAAACATGTTTTCATCAGAAAAACGTTTTTATAATTTCTACAAGGAACTTACAAGTGGGAATGTTACATAAAAAACGATGAGTTAGGTTTCATTTCTAATAAATCACCCCTAATAAATTGAATGTTAGAAAATAAAGTATTGAAATTAATAATTAATAATATTTCTACAGCCAACGAATAATAATTATTTAAAAAATAATGCATAAATATATGAAATTGCTGCCTTCATGAAATTTAAGTTCATGTGTACAGTTACACATACTATTAAATATTATTGTGAATACAATTTATGGTTTCTACTTATTTTTAGTTTCTTTGATTACATAATTGATAGCTTCTACTTCTGCGAGTCACAATCAATTTTAGGAGTGAAATTTTTTTTTATCTGAAAATATACCAGTGTGGAACACTTTATCAATTTTTTATTGTTAATCATTCGCTAGTCTCTGAGAATGCTTTGCATTCATCATTGTTTTTCTTTGCTTAAAATTCTTTCTTTTTTTTAATGTAATTTTTGTTTGTAAAATATATAATTATAATTTTAAGTAAGAACATTTGGTTGATATGTTAATTGTTCCGATTACCTGAAATTGAAACAGTCTATTGTGCTTGAAACGAAACAAACATATTATCTTAGGAATATAGAATGTGCAACACAATCAAAAACAATGAAATAGAAGTAATTTTGCCTGTTAATAATATATAATGATAGCCTTATATCATATAACATTTCAGACAGGAATTTTTTTTATATTTATTTTGAATCTTTCATATTTTTAAAAGTTTCAATATAAGTATAAAATTTATATCTTGTGCAACATTTATTCCTTTACTTTTATTTATTTCTTCATTTTTTTTAATACTTAAATACTTAATACTTTTTAATACTGATTTTAAGACAACTTGCAAGCTATAAAATGAAGATCTTGTGAGAGAAATATATTTTTCTACAACAATGAATAAATAATTATTAATTGAAAAAAAGGAAAAAAACTGAAGAAAAATTTATTCTTAAAAATATCTTCTAAATTCAAACTTAAATATAATGATGCTTAAATCATTAAGACCCTTTTCAAATAACTTAAAACTTGAGTCATCATGAAATGGGTTAATTTGGATTTGAGCTATTAAGTTCACTCTAAATGTAATGAAATCTATTATTTAATCTAATTTAAGCTACATTTAGCTTAAATATCCATTTATTATAAATAAGTTTCAAATTTAATGTACAATAATATCTAGAATTAAATTTTTTGATTTTGTTTAATTAATTTCTAAATCTTAGTTTAACATTATTTTTTTTGCCAACTTTATGAATTGCTTTTAACAAATTTTTTATTATTTATTTTTTTAATTTTTTTGGTCTTATTTAGATTGGGAATTTTAATGATTTTTATATTGTATTTTTTTTTCTGATTATGACTTAGATTTCATTCTCCTTATTGAATATTCCCTTTAAAAAATTAGAGTGGAAATTAGACTACTGTTAATTGTTTAATTATAAATGTATGCAAACAGGAAACAGTTTAACATTGGCATTCTAATAATATTTATTAAAGGAATCTCGTTTTTCCTACCTCTTCACTTGGTAGAAAAATAATTCCTCTTGAAATTCAGTTTCCAAAAGGAAACCAGTATTCATGGTTCCAAAAAATGATTCCTCAAGGAATATTAAATTTTTTCTTTAAGTAATCCAATTCTTTACAGTTCGTGATCTGTAAAACTGTTCTCATTTTTTTCTTTTGCTCACTACCAGACCTATATTATAAAAATGTAAATCATTTGTTAGACTTTTTATTATAATTGTTGTAGTTTTAAGTCTTGTTTGTATTTACATTCATCACCTTTCTTAATATGTCTTTTTTGTTATTAACTTTTTACTGCTTTTTTTTATTATTATTTTTGATTTAGTTGGAAACCTGTTAAAATATTTTGTGGTTGATGAGCTGTTTTATTTTTCATCAATCTTTCCTTTTCATCATTTATATTAAAAGGTAAACTAAAATAACTAATTGATGTTCTGAATGTTACATATCTTTCAAACAATAAAATATGCTTCAATATTTCCAGGAAAATTAACAATTAGAGGTAAAAAAAAGTACTATTTTTCTCATGTATTATACTTCTTCACGATTACTTTATTTCTTCATGAATGTCTAAATTTTTATCTGTGAAAATATTATTCCTATCTAAAGAATTAAAGATTTTATTTTTTTTAGTTGTGAAAATGTAAAAGTTTTGTTTTAAAGTTTACAAATAAAATAAAAATAAGTAAATTGAAAACAAGGAACATTAGAAAGATCAGAAATTTGCATTATTTTGTAGTTTTCAACAGCAAATTAATGCATATTTTAGTTTTTGCTGAATTAAAGAAATATAAAAATTAATTATAAAATAGCTTTAATTGGGACAACTCTTTAGTAGTTAGCATCTCTAAAATGTACTTAATAATTTTCAAATAAATAACTGTTAAGCTTAACATTTACCAAAATCAATTTTATTTCAAGTTCAGAAATTCCGTTTTAATATACTGATCCAGAAATTGAACTTACTTGATCCTAGTATTTAAAATTTTTCATTATTTTGCATTTTTTAATGAATTATAATGAAATATTTAATTTGATATACAAATTTCTTAAAAATATATTATTTGTTATTCTTTCAGATAGTAAGCATGCTTTTTGTTAATTTTAAATATCTTATATTAAAATATAAGTTTCATTGACATAACTAGGTATTTAAATCTTATTATTGAAAAAGCTTCAGTATGCATAATGCTATGTTTTAGGCTTTATGAATACATTTTTATATTTTTTATTTAAACAGCCATATAATATTTTTTGCCTTTTTATTTTAGGAAGCTTGATGGAGTACAGTATCATCTAATCAAGTCTTATGCTGAATTAGAAAAAGATACTCCAGGCACTATAAGTGGAATTTCATCTTCTCAAAGTAAGGATTGATAGTCTGTATATAGATAAATATAAATTGTATTATTTATTATATGGTAATATAATTTATATTTATTTATTGTATTAACATTTATTTTTTTTATTTATTATATTCATAATTATTTATATTTATTCATTATTATTTACATTTATTAATTGTTGCATTTATTTATTGTACTGTATTTAATATATGTTTATACAATTTATAATCATTTATATACATCCAGTTATAAACTTAATAATTTTATAAACTATCGGAACATAGAATTTTACTTAATTTATTTGTGACTTTTATTTTAATATAATAATTTTATTTCTCGAATTAGGTGTTCCAAAAATGACTGAGGGTTTAAAAAATAAATTAAATAAAAAATGAAAGGGGATAGAAAAGTAGAATTTATTTCAGATTGCTTAGGAAACTAATTTTTTTCCATCAAATTATAGTAAAAGTTAATTTTAGTAAAATTATTAAATTAATGAACATATGACAATACAATGAACAGATGGAAATTAAAATAAAATCATGTTTTCTGTTGTATGTCAGGACATGTTCCAATTGAAATCTTATCACAGGCTTCTATTAATTTTGTCCTTAGACTGTACGGCAATGTTGTTGCAATTGGCAGTCATTTCAAAGCATTTTATAGTTCTTCAGTTAGTAGTATTATCAGTTATATAGTTAATTTTGACATTCGATAAGAGAAAACGAACTGCTAGTTTTCTAAACAGAAAGCAGCAAATTTTACTTTTTTTTCTATTTCTCCATTATTTTTAAAATTAATTTTTAAATTTCAGATTATTTTTAAGACTTCTAAGCATTAAATTATTTACATTATTTCAATTTCTTTTGACCCAGATTTTATCCCTTGTTATTTAGAGAAAAAGTTGGATATTGAGGAGAAATTTTTATAAAAACTTACTTAAAAGTAAAATGGTTTGTCAAGTTTAAGGAAATATTGATTTTGACTTAACATGTTAGTATAAAACACAAATTTACTATTATTTTTTTGCATATTGTAAAATTTGTTTACTCTATTGAACAACATTTTTCAGGGCTCGAAAAAAATCGGAAATTTTACCCGTCGCCGAGAACGGCTTGTCTAACAATGTAACCGTCCTCCTTTGAAACTAATCCGTAGCT